GAGTCGAGGTTCTTCTCCTCCTGCTTCCTGAGGCCCTCTGCTTCTTCTTTATCTGAGGGGACAGGGTCCTGGGGAAGGGGAATTCCAGAGGTCTGGAGCTGTACCGCCACAGCACGACACGCTGATGGGATCTACAGTAGAGATAAGAGTTAGTTTAATCAGAAATGATTATATATGTTATATAGCACTGGGTCCTGTGGCACTACACTCTGATGGGATATATAGCTAGTGGAGGTAAAGACGGGTCATCTCAGGCCAAGCACATCAATCTATACATGACCTGTAGATTCTCAACTTCAGAGACATGTTTGAAGCCACTTGACTGCCTATTCAGTCACAAAGCATTACTCTTGAAGGCTTATGTCACACCATACTTCCACATGCCTAACAAACAGGCAATAGTATTTTATTAATATTTTATTTAGTAAATATTTTCCTAACCATTTCTTGAACTGCATTGTTGGTTAAGGGCTTGTAAGTAAGCATTTCATGTTAAGGTCTACACCTGTTGTATTCAGCGCATGTGACAAATAACATTTGATTTGATTTTAATAGCATATATGTTTTGTTATTCATTGAAAAAAATAGTTGAGATGACATCATCACAAACCATTCACACCCAGATGGTAGTAATGACAATTTCCACCAGTGGAAAGGCAGGAAGGGTCTCTTACAGCGACTTCGATGCCGATGGTCTCGTACTGACGGTGGACCTTGTCAGCGAGGTCGTCGAACAGCCGGACGATGGAGGGCTTCTCCAGGGACATAGCTGAGCTGAGGCCTGAGCGGACGATGGCAGGCCAGGTCAGGGTGATGCAGTCCCAGTCATGCAGGTTGGCCAGGCACACCCCACTGTGGTTCCCCAAGAGACAGTACAAGGCACCCTGGAGAGAGGAGAGATGGGGGGGTAAGGAAGGATGAGGAAAATAATGAAGGATGGCGAATATGACGATGAGGGCTCAAAGTTATATTCCATTTATCTATTTACATCATCAGTCATTTAGTCAGTCAGTCAATCGATTGAGCAATTATTATCAATGATCAATTTGCGATAACCAGCCTAGATCATGTGTGTGTGAATGAGGTAGGGGAGTGTTTCTGTGTGTGGTCTAGATAAAAGATAAACAGGACAGAGACAGGCCAGTCGTACTTTGAATTGCTGCTGTGTGACGTCGGCGCGGTCTGGCTCCAGGAACTCCAGCACGCGGGGGATCAGGTCCCTGCAGCAGAAGTTATAGGCCCCTAGAGCTGTGAACAGCACACTCTGAGCCCGGCTACGCACCTGGAGGGACACACATGAGGTACTCACCCTCAAATGGTGGTTCTTTCTTAACACATTTTTCTTGATTCCTTGCATCCTGTCTCCTCGCCGCCTCCTCAAAAAACATCAGAGGAGATTAATGTGTTTTGAGGTGGCGAGGAGAGAGGAATCAAGGAACATGAAGGCAGATTGATAAAACATCTCTCTCACCACAGTAATGTTTTGTTCATCTGCTGGAGCTACTAAAGCAAACATGTGTGGTAGTGAACTGAGCTAACCTGACTGTAGGTGCTGGTGGAGAGCCTCAGCAGATCCCGCATCAGTTCCTGGTGGATACTCCTGTACTCACACCCCTCCACTGTTAGCTTACGCAGCTGGACAACACAAAACACATTACACAGCAGCTAGGTTACAACCAGGCGTAAACACACATATTCTTCCATGACAGCAGCAGACACTTGAGAATGGACAGAACAGAGAGAGAGAGAGAGAGAGAGAGAGAGAGAGAGAGAGAGAGGACAGAGAGACCCTACCTCGTGCTGTAGCATGACTCTGTCAATTAGCAGGGCTCGGATGTGCTGCTTCCTGCCATGAAGCTATAGGTGGATTAGAAGAAGGGAAATGAATAACTGATTACAGGTCACCACTAGAATCAATTCAAAATGCAAAACTCAACTCTTACAAAATATATGTTAGATAAGTATGTGGGTGCTGTAAACGACCAGCATTCATTCACTCAAGTGAATTCCACCACAATCTCCGCCATGGCCCCAGTATGGCGTCCTAGCTAGATCTCTCACCCTGTTCTCCATGGACTTCTTGACCAGGTTGAAGCTCTTCCAGCGAGAGTCAAACTCGTGTTTGTGGGAGCCTTTGAAGTGCAGCAGGTCACTGATGATCTTGATGATGGAGAACAGAGACTTGGTGTCGTCCTCTGAGTGCTCCAGAATGTGATCTGAGGAAATAACACAGAACAAACCATTACATGATCTGGATATGTTTTAGAGATGGTTTATTAGATCTTAATATGTGAAGAGAGTGACAAGGTGGTGGACACATAGCAATTTCAAAAACCATTACACTTATAGGAAGGGAAATTATCTGGATAGGTTTACACTTTTTGTGTTAGTTAGATCTGGATGTGAAGAAATGCAGAATACAGCAGAAGACAAGTTTCCGTTAGACATCTGTGTACATTGGAGAATAAAGTAATCTTGCCAAGACAATGATAATACAGCAGTCGATGACAGGACACAGTATCTGGAAGGTAGATGTGATACGTTTCACACTTACAGTATAACAGTTGTTTGGGTGGCTGTGGTTTGATGTTGGGGTGTGGGGTTGTGTTGTGGTTACAGGATCAGGAGGGGACGAGAGTTTGTTGTTTGGTGTGGTGGTGTTGTTACAGGAGGTGGATGTTGATTTGATGTTAGGTGGGGTTGTGTTGTGGTTACAGCGACAGGAGGAGAGCGGACACTACTCACGTAGCAGCTGCCTCATCACTCTGCAGATAGCATCTCTGTAGTTTTCTCTGGACACATCTGCAGGGAGGGAGAGAGAGTTGAGGAATTACAACTCAGGCTAGCCACACTATGTACACATCCCAGTCACAATATGACTGCCCACACAAAGAAAATCAGAGCACAGCTAACTTTGAGGGTAGATAGTAATACTCCCTACCATCGGCCATCCCTGTGAAGAGGTTGGTCTCCCCCAGATTCACCAAGCTAGTCACCCTGATGGAGAAAGAGAGGTTACAAAGTTAAAAAACACTGTGGTAAAACACTTTGTGACAACAAAGGACTTCATAAATACATTTTATTGATTAAGCTTGACTGTTTGCTAATTAAATGTGTCCTACTCACAGTTCAGGGATGGGCTCTCCTTGCAGCAGGGGCAACAGGCTACCTGCTCCCAGAAGGCAGTGCTGTACGATGGACAAACTCTGTAGGACGTCATCCCTGAAAAAACAGAATTAAGACAGTTACATGCAGGGTCCACATAACACTGATTACACATTATAGAGCAGAACAGGGTTGTGTTCAGTGGGACGGAAACTTTTTGAAACAGAGTGAAACAGGGTGGTACCAGCTAAACTTTTCAGGACAATAGCATACTTAGGACAAACAGCACAATGCGACACTTGTCCGTTGCAAAAAGTATTTGCTACTGTGTGCACTACTGAAGTAGTGGTGTAGTAGAGACCCAGCCTTGGTTTAAAAGGGTGTTCCTGCTTCTGGTTCAGAAGATCATAAAAAGGTTAGCTTATTCTTGGATTAGTGCAGTATCCTATCCTTGCACCTGTCTACTCCAGACTTAACCTGCCACTGTCACACTGTTTAATGTGTCTTCAACCTGGTAAAGTCCTGGCAAAACGTGTGTTTCTAATTGGAAAAGTTTAGGTAGTCCTTTTGTTTCAGTCGGTTTTCTTCTGTTTGATAACTGATGATTAGGACCCTTTTCTCACTGTCTTTTAGTTAGTTAGTTTATCCCTCCTCACCTGGTCATGTCCTGTTCCCCCTGGGCATATCTCTGCAGTCGGAGCAGCTCTGGCTGTAGGATCAGGTCAAGAACGTAGAACACAAAGCGGGTCTCCTCCACACTGGGGACGTGCCACTGGATGTTCAGGTTCCACAGGTCCCCCGGACGACCCCAGTCCTGGAGACACAGGAGGAGAGAAAGCAGGGTTTGTTCTGGATCAAAAAGGGGCTTAGGTGGTGGGTGTGGGTAGAGCCCGACCGATATATCGGATTGCCGATATTGTCCTTTTACCGATATATCGGTAAATAACTCCACCGATAACCAATATTCAATAAATAGGATGAAAAAAACCTGATCTCATGCTAATCTGAACACTTGCGGCCAGAAGCATAGTTGTTACGAACCCCGTGGCTCTAAACATCTAGGGTGGATGGACATGAGACCCGTAACATAAATTCATGTAAATTATAAGTGTGGCAGGGAACAGTGAGAACCAAAAATGACACAACAACCATGAACTACCGTCAAACACAAAGTGTTTATTTCTGAACACACGGTAAGGGTTTGGGAAAAAGGGCTGAGCAGGACCCAAGAAATGAAACAATAGTGTAAAACCCCCCTAAACTGATCTAGCCTGCCTGAAGAACCGCTAGGCTACTGCTAGTCATACAAAAGTACAGTGGGTGGTCCACTCAGGTCTAACTAGTGTTTTTAGACAGATTTCTTCCTACGGGTAATGTACGCCCAAGGGCAACTAGCTTAACCTCCCCTTTTCCCAGAAACACACAAAGCTACAAAACAGGGTAATCAGCAATAAAGTACGTACACAATACACAGGACACAACAGTATCCACACTCACATAAAGAAATGGATTCTAACAAAGTTACCAATAGGGTAACCAACAACTTAGTGAGTACACAACACACAGGACACCACCGTGTCCATACTCACATATGGCAAAAATCTCTCTCTCTTGCAACACACACAAGTTTGGTTTTTATAAAATGGGATGTGTGATTGAACAAACGAGTAACAGGTGGTGCAATTCACAGGAATGTTCACTGATTGGTCCAATCAGCAGACACCTCAACGACCACCAATCAGGAACATACAGGACACCTGTGATTAGGGCAGAAGGAGAGAAACACACAAAAACACAGGATACCTGTATCCGTAACAATAGTTATTGGACAATTGCTCTTTTGGATGGAAATTCATGAGAATGCAGTGTGGAAAAAAAATACACTTTAATTTCCCTGCAGTAAAACAGTATATCGGCGTCGGTGAGTTTTGTACCCCAAAAAATTTGAATCGGTATCAGACCCGAAAAAACATATCGGTTGGGCTCTATGCATGGCAATGGGCGCAGTCGGCGGGCTGAAATTTGTCTGGCTCCCCATCTTGGCGGAGGAGAGCATTTTGGTGTTTTAATGCCACTTTCCTGCATTCTACAAATTTCTTCAGGAGCTTAGAGAAATATTTAAGTTTAAAGCAAATTTCCTGCAATTCTACACATTTTGCCATGGAGCTGAGATACAGTGGGGAAAAAAGTATTTAGTCAGCCACCAATTGTGCAAGTTCTCCCACTTAAAAAGATGCGAGAGGCCTGTAATTTTCATCATAGGTACACGTCAACTATGACAGACAAATGGAGAATTTTTTTCTCCAGAAAATCACATTGTAGGATTTTTAATGAATTTATTTGCAAATTATGGTGGAAAATAAGTATTTGGTCACCTACAAACAAGCAAGATTTCTGGCTCTCACAGACCTGTAACTTCTTCTTTAAGAGGCTCCTCTGTCCTCCACTCGTTACCTGTATTAATGGCACCTGTTTGAACTTGTTATCAGTATAAAAGACACCTGTCCACAACCTCAAACAGTCACACTCCAAACTCCACTATGGCCAAGACCAAAGAGCTGTCAAAGGACACCAGAAACAAAATTGTAGACCTGCACCAGGCTGGGAAGACTGAATCTGCAATAGGTAAGCAGCTTGGTTTGAAGAAATCAACTGTGGGAGCAATTATTAGGAAATGGAAGACATACAAGACCACTGATAATCTCCCTCGATCTGAGGCTCCACGCAAGATCTCACCCTGTGGGGTCAAAATGATCACAAGAACGGTGAGCAAAAATCCCAGAACCACACGGGGGGACCTAGTGAATGACCTGCAGAGAGCTGGGACCAAAGTAACAAAGCCTACCATCAGTAACACACTACGCCGCCAGGGACTCAAATCCTGCAGTGCCAGACGTGTCCCCCTGCTTAAGCCAGTACATGTCCAGGCCCGTCTGAAGTTTGCTAGAGTGCATTTGGATGATCCAGAAGAGGATTGGGAGAATGTCATATGGTCAGATGAAACCAAAATAGAACTTTTTGGTAAAAACTCAACTCGTCGTGTTTGGAGGACAAAGAATGCTGAGTTGCATCCAAAGAACACCATACCTACTGTGAAGCATGGGGGTGGAAACATCATGCTTTGAGGCTGTTTTTCTGCAAAGGGACCAGGACGACTGATCCGTGTAAAGGAAAGAATGAATGGGGCCATGTATCGTGAGATTTTGAGTGAAAACCTCCTTCCATCAGCAAGGGCATTGAAGATGAAACGTGGCTGGGTCTTTCAGCATGACAATGACCCCAAACACACCGCATAGGCAAAGAAGGAGTGGCTTCGTAAGAAGCATTTCAAGGTCCTGGAGTGGCCTAGCCAGTCTCGAGATCTCAACCCCATAGAAAATCTTTGGAGGGAGTTGAAAGTCCGTGTTGCCCAGCGACAGCCCCAAAACATCACTGCTCTAGAGGAGATGTGCATGGAGGAATGGGCCAAAATACCAGCAACAGTGTGTGAAAACCTTGTGAAGACTTACAGAAAACGTTTGACCTGTGTCATTGCCAACAAAGGGTATATAACAAAGTATTGAGAAACTTTTGTTATTGACCAAATACTTATTTTCACCATAATTTGCAAATAAATTCTGCTCGGCAAAATAAGACCTGCTCGGCAAAAACGTAAAAATCAATGACAGATTTCTTTAGTCATCTTAAATTGTGTATACTGGCTAAAGCATCTAAAAAATTTACAAACAGTACCATTGCCGCTTTTTCTCGTTTTTAAAGCAAATGTATTTTAAGGGAGTATGCGAGCACACTCGTTCGGTTCGCCTAGCCGACTCCGGCTAACCGAACTGAAGCATGCTGACGCCTTTACTCAATGAGCGGGGGCAGCACTGAGTGAGCCTGCAAAATCACTTCCTGGAGTAGCCCAAACTAAGCATGTTATGTCTCCATGAGACGCCATCTTAACCAACTTAATTTGGCTTCAATGCACTATTGAGGCTTCACATAGGAATGAATGGTGTCACATGATCAATGGTTTTGTCCATTCAAATATACAGACATTGACATGCACGCAAGTAACGCACACACACAAAACACACATCTGCTTGTCTTGTAGTCCTGACACCAATTCTAAGAACAGCAGGCAAGACACCTTATCTGGCATCTAGTGCCATACAGACTTGAATCCATTGAGCTAGCCAACAAGCTGCCCTGGGGCACATCCCAATAATCTCTCCTTCCTCCTGTAGTGAACACTCGTTCACTACTCCATACACATTTTAAAGCATTGGATTGGTAATAGGCATGGCCTGAAGTGAGTTTCCATATACCAGTTATTTCCTTTCAAATCCATGAAGGGAAGTGAACAAGTGCACACTTCGGGGAGAAATGAGAGATTATGCCTCTACCTCTACTGGGGATGACATAATAGGATCACACTCAAGGCCTTTTCATAGAGATGCATAGAGGGTGCACTTGCCACAAAAGCCTGTTTTAGCGTGGGCTGCGCCATGGAGGGATTTCACCATTGGACTTCCTATGGGCAAAGATAGGCGTGTCCTCTATCCATCTCTATGGGCCCTTCTCACTGACTAAGTGGGCATGGGTAGGGCTGAGGAGAGTGAACGAGGAAGGGAGGACAAATAGAGGAGAGTTGTGTAACTGTCTGGTAGGTTAAGAGGGCAGAGTTATATTATGCCCTGGACCTCTCTACTAGTCTGGCCTGGTTCTTTTGACACACTTTCTTTCAGAAGGTCCAGAGTGGCTGATAAACGATGAGACCAATCAAGAAGATATAATAATGTAAAAATATATAAAATAACACCATTTGTGATAGAAATGGACAGAAGTACTCGATAATCGCCATTGTTCGGGGTCTTCTGGGTTATAAACAGGGGTGCACATAACTTTTTCAGTGAGTTACTCAGGTGAGTACCAGCAGAGGGTGTCTGGTGTCACCCCATTTGTAGCGGTCTTAATAAGTGCAGTCTTCCTCACTGTCCTCCTCAGTGCCGCCACCACTGTCCTCCTCAGTGCCGCCACCACTGTCCTCCTCAGTGCCGCCACCACTGTCCTCTGCTTCAGCTTCCTGCATGGTAGATGATGAAGATGCTGCAGATGCACCTCCCTGTCCTTGGTTGAGCCTCCGATTAGCTGTCTCCATCCACAGGTCAACAGCAGGCTTTGGGTCAAATGTCTCTGTGGTCTGCTTTGACAGGTGAATGTGCATCAGGGCTGAGAGACGAGCATGTGACAGACGAGATCTGTACTTGATTTTTATTATGTTGAGATGTGAGAATCCCCTCTCACAAGCTGCACTGCTTAAAGGCAGTGTAAGAGTAAGCATCTGGGTTACTTGTATTTACTATTTGGACCAAGTCATACACAGAAGAGGCTCCCAGGCGTTTTCCTGCCTGCTTTAAGAGCATCCATTCTGTCACAGTGGTATCTTTGTCAAGTTGCAAGGTGGCCTCATATTTCTTGAGAATGCTGCAAACTGTTGTGTTCCCAAAACTGTGGAGGTCTTGCATTTCCTGAGGCCATGTTGAAGGATCAAATACTAAGAAATGATCACATGACTTGAGGGAGTCATCTGATTTCAAACTCAATTAACCCCCTGAGTAAGTGTGTCTTGTCTCTGTCAGCATCGGAAACAGTGTGTGCCCTGTGGCTTTCACCATCAAGCAGAAGTGTGAACTGTCCAATGGCCACCATGAGTTCATCCTTACATTCTCCAATGGTCAGCTTTTCCTTCTGAAACCTAATGGATGTGGTCTTCAAAATGTTGCAAATGTCAAGCATGTTTGACAGAAAGCACTGAAAACGCTCTGTGCAGATATGCTGCAAGTCACTGTTATCACTCATAACCAGTTGCATTTTAACAGCTGGCAATAGTCTTGATATTTTTAACAGTGTTTCATGCCTCCATGCAGACCATCTGATATTATGAAACTTACCCAGTTTCACAAAGGAGATCCCATTTTCTTCACATAGCTTATTCAGTGCAGCAGTTTTTTTTGCTCCACCTTTTTGTAAATAAAACTGCAGCAGCTTGACCACAGAGCGATTAAATGTCTCACAGTAAGGAACGTTGCGATCAGCTGATTTCGCGCAATTCTCCAGTGTGTGCGGTGCACAGAATGTGCACAAGGGAGTCTCCAACCGCAGCAAGTTGCCGGAGTTTTGGCACAAAGCCGTTGTAGATACCTACGTTAACAGCAGCCCTGTCTGTGCACACAGCGACCAACTTTGTTGTCCAGTCATCCAAGCCTGTGTCCTGGAAAAGTCTCACAATTCCGTCTGTTATGGCCTGCGCGGTTCGGTCAGCACCCAATTCAATCAGTCCAATAAAGTCTGAAGTAAACTCTCCGTTGCTGGACACAGACACAATGTAAACGATTTCCTGCTCAGTTTTTGTGATGTCCTCAGATCCATCAAAAAGCAGCCCCCAAAATTCAGCAGACTGCAACTTGGCTCGTAACTCCCCGCTGATGGTGTGAGCGATGCTCTGGATGATCCGTGTGCCCCCTTCACGTGAATGATATGCACCTCCGACATTTACTCCTAGCCGCTTCAGTAAAGGAACATCCTCAGAATAGGAAGACATGGGACGTGCGTGTTTAGCTTTATGGAAGGCGAGGAGAAAAATATTAAACAGAGCTTGCCGCTGTTCTTCATTCAGCTTGTCTCGCCATCTGGCAAGTGGACATTTCTTCTCGGCTAGCTTGTTTAGCAATGGCTTGCGCCACATTCGTGTGCTCCTTGCTCCTTTCATGTTTGTCAAATAAAGGATGGTTGAAATTCTTTGAGCCTTTATAAAATGCACCTGTTTTGTCTGCTAGATGTGGATTTGAGCGGCAAATCTTGCACCACATTTCAGTGCGCTCATCTTTAGCTTCAAGCCACTGCACATCTTGGAGCCACTTCTCCGAAAAAATTATTTTCTTCGGCTCTGGCTCCAGTTGGCGTTTCTTTGTAGGTGGCGTAATGCCAAATAAGCTGCTTAATGTCTGTTGCTTTTTGGACATCCCTGACAGTAGTTGACAAGCAACATGTCATGTGTAAGGTTAGATGAGAAGATCGGTCAAGTACGCAAAGGCGCGTAGTAACACAAGTGGCATTACGCATTCCTGATTTTTGTCGCGCTTGCGTACCTGCGTACCAGTTATGTGCACCCCTGGTTATAAAAATATATTCCCACCAAAGAAAATAGCAGAAATTTGGCAGGCAGGAATCTAAAGTTTTGAACTTGATACCTTGATGGGTAGGTAGTCCTATATGGGCTGTTGAAAGTCAGCTGGTACACTGTAGTACTCTGTGGGGTAGATAGATGTGTTACCCCTATCACCAACCCTGCATGTGCCCCTAACCCTAACCCTGTACATATACACTGTAAATACCTTGATGGGTAGGTAGTCCTGTGTGGACTGCTGAAAGCCTTCTGGAACACTGCAGTACTCTGTGGGGTAGATGAGGGCTGTTGACCTCAGGATATGATGCAGCAGGTTACAGGCCAGGGTGTAGCCCTGTTTACACTTCAGATGGAGGGTCAGCTGCAGGATCTGAACCAGCTGGGTGCAGTAAGGGAGGATCTTGTCCCCGTCTACACGAGTCACCTGGGGAGGACAAGGAAAGGAAGGAAGGAGGGTTAGGAGAGAACATACAGACTCCCCCCTGTGTTCTGTTCATTAGGGCACACAACAGAAAATAAAAAAATACAAACATTTTGTGGCGAAAAAAAAAATTAGCTTTCTTATCAGACAACATTAGGTTAGTAACTCCCGCGTTTGAAAAATGTTTTCCTGTTTGGTGTCTACTGACAGGTGAAGGGAACAAGAGTCTCTCAGTCAGTATGGATGCAGGATGATGACCTCACCTCTGACAGTAGCTGGAGGTTCCATAGTAACTCCTTATCCAGTTCCTCCTCACTCAACACCTCTTCATCTGGAAATCAATAGCATCATCAAGAACAACATCATCAACGTGACAGACATAGTGAGATACTCAGAGGCCAACTAAGAACAAGGACCCATTGATTCCCACTTCTACTCTAAGCCCTCCATATCAAATCAACACACATCGCATCGTATTGATCAAATCAAATCAAGATTTTGATTTATAGCCCTGCACTTAAACAGAACACACTTCCTACTTAGTGAGTACTTACTGACAGCGATCTGGTTTATGGCATTGCAGCAGTGGGGCACAAAAAGCTTCAGAGACTGTGCCGGGTGACACTTGGAGGCTGCTCTGCACATGTCAGCCACCATCCTGCCAGCCACACGAGTCTCAAAGATGTTGGTGGTGGCAAAGTTGAAGACCTTCTCCAGAGCCACCTGAGTACAGCCAGAAAAAAGAAATGGTTGAGTGTGTGTGTGTGTGTGTGTGTGTGTGTGTGTGTGTGTGTGTGTGTGTGAGTGAGTGTGCGTCCTACCTTGAAGATGTCTATGGAGCACTGTGTGAGGATGGTACTGAAGGTAGAAGACAGTCCCAGCTCCACCAGGCTCTCCAGATGGGTCATCTTCTCTGTCTCGGTCTCCTCTCTGGTCTGCTCCAGAGTACTGCTGTCTATCAGGGCAAAACACCTGGACGGAGACACACACACACACACACACAGAGAGAGAGACAGACCCAGACACACGCGCAGACAGTTTAGAACTGCTATGCTGTTCCACTGATGAAATGCATGCATACATATGCTACATTCACTACATAACCAAAAGTATGTGGACACCTGCTCGTCGAACATCTCATTACAAAATCATGGCCATTAATATGGAGTTGGTCCCCATTTGCTGCTATAACAGCCTTTACTATTCTGGGAAGGCTTTTCACTAGATGTTGGAACATTGCTGCGGGGACTTGCTTTCATTCAGCCACAAGAGCATTAGTGAGGTCATGCACTGATTGTTTGGCGATTAGGCCTGGCTCGCAGTCGGCGTTCCAATTAATTCCAAAGGTGTTCGATGGGGTTCGGGTCAGGGCTCTGTGCAGGCCAGTCAAGTTCTTCCACACCAATCTCGACAAACCATTTCTGTACGGACCTCGCTTTGTGCACGGACCTCGCTTTGTGCACGGGGGCATTGTCATGCTGAAACAAGAAAGGGCCTTCCCCAAACGGTTGCCGAAAAGTTGGAAGCACAGAATCGTCTAGAATGTAATTGTATGCTGTAGCATTAAGATTTCCCTTCACTGGAATTAAGGGGCCTAGCCCGAACCATGAAAAACAGCCCCAGACCATTTTTCTTCCTCCACCAAACTTTACAGTTGGCACTATGCATTGGGGCAGGCAGCCTTCTCCTGGCATCCGCCAAACCCAGATTCGTCCGTCGGACTGCCAGATGGTGAAGCGTGATTCATCACTCCAGAGAACGCGTTTCCACTGCTCCAGAGTCCAATGACGGCAAGCTTTACGCCACTCCAACCGACTCTTGGCATTGCGCATGGTGATCTTAGGCTTGTGTGCGGCTGCTCGGCCATGGAAACCCATTTTGTGAAGCTCCAGACGAACAGTTATTTTGCTGACATTGCTTCCAGAGGCCACTTCGCGGCTGAGCCGTTGTCGCTCCTAGACGTTTCCACTTCACAATAACAGCACTTACAGTTGACCGGGGCAGCTCTAGCAGGGCAGAAATTTGACGAACTGACTTGTTGGAAAGGTGGCATCCTATGACGGTGCCACGTTGAAAGTCACGGAGCTCTTCAGTAAGGCCATTCTACTGCCAATGTTTGTCTATGGCGATTGCATGGCTGTGTGCTCGATTTTATACACCTGTCAGAAACGGGTGTGGCTGAAATAGCCAAATCCACTAATTTGAAGGAGTGTCCACATACTTTTGTATATATTGTGTACATAGACTTCGTTCTCCATACTCATACCTGTCCATGAACTGAAGAACAAAGTCCTCAAACTCTGCAGAGGCTGAGCACATCTCTCTCTCCACCTCTGTCAGGTCGCTCCTTTCATGAACAGCAGATGAACAGTCCACCAAAGGCACAAGAGTCGCAAACGTAGCAATGAATTGGAACGTTATCTGCAGAAAGGAGGGAGAGCAAAAGTTAGACCTGCAACACACACACACAATCACACACACACTTCCAAATTGATGACAATCTCTGTACCCAAGCAACCCCAGTGTAGGCCTACGAGAGCTTCTTCTTTCCCCTGAACTCCATTACCCACCATGCACTTGCTGAAGTCGTTGGGGTCGACCCCGGGCAGGGCCCTCATGAGGAGGGGCAGCATGTGTGTGGGCCCCTCGGGGAAGCGCTGGCCCCCAGACACCAGGCTGCGAGCCACGCCGATCATACAACTCAGGGTGGCAGTCAGCTGGTGGGGCTCTGTCAGTGTCTCCATAGCAGGGTAGGTTCTATAAAGGGAGGACAAGACAGAATTGAGAAACGTAAAATACTGTCAAATACTGTCATACCGTCAAAAATATTGTGCTATGATATTTTGGCTATATTTGCCTTAGAACTTTAGTTAATATGCCTCTTGGAATACAGAACCTCCCATTCCAGTTCTTCCATTTGTAAACTCTACCCAGTGTCTCCCATAGATTAGCCTATTTTCCTGGCGGTGCACACAGGTCCCGATTTAATATTCAGGGCCTCTAAAGCTCAAAGTCAAATAGAAATCAACTGAAGACTGAAGGCTTTAGGCATTGAGGGTCAACAGATCTAGTGGGGCCCCGCCCCATCTATACAATGATAGAGGAAACACTGCCAATCCACTTCTCAGACAGACGGCTTGATTTGACTCACTTCTCCAGCACTGGTGGTATGACGAGTTCGGGCCTCATGAGGGCCAGGTTCTGCAGGGCCTGAGCAGCGTCCAGACTGCCCGTCTTACTGAACATGGCCAGTAGCACCGGCTGCATCATACTCTCCACGAATGCCGTGATGTCTGCCTCCGTCATCTTGTGGCTGTCCGGTACCGGCGTGAGCCACGTGGGTTTCCGGTAGCGCTCCCGGTGGAGCCGGCGCACCACGCTGGCCGGGAGGCGCTGCAGCAGCTTCATCAACTTCATCTGGGGACAGAGAGACAGAGACGGGTAAGGACATGAAGACAGAGTGACAGACAAGGTTAGAGAGACACTGGCTGGGAGACAGGTGGGAGGACAGAGAGACAGGTACATGACACAGGAATGTAAAATTGACACAGGAATTTAAAGAAATCATGTGTCTTTCTATGTCACGTCAGTGATGACGATTACAACTTTTACTAGCTGACTTTAGCCGACCCAGGACTCATGGTACCCTCATATTGGACACCGGTCACAAGAACGTGAGGTTGTCTGTTGACATTCACCTACTTTGCAATAGAACTTCAACAGCTGAGGGGTCAGGAGAGCATCTCATGAATTGCTGGGGTTTCCCAGCAACAGAACAGGGTCACAAACACAACTCTCCGTCCAGACCTGGGTTCAAATACTATTTGAAATCTTTCAAATACTTTTAGCGTTCACTTTAGCTGGAGTGCCGGATGAGCAGGGTGTGCACTTTTATGAGCATTCTATTGGTTCCATTGCTTCAGACAAGCTCAATTGAGCCCAGGTTTAGTAGTTGTAATGGTATTTGAACCCAGGTCTGTGTCCCTTACCCATAAATAAAGGTTTGTGTATGACTAGCCGGAGGCTCTGGTCTGATGACGGAGGGGGGGGGGGATGTTCCTAGAACAGAATGGCATGTGCCCTGGATATCAGGCTAACCTTTTATAGCACGGCTGGTTGCTGCCTCTCTCACATATGTCATCAGGCTGTTATTTCTGAACTAGTGGTATGTACACACACACCCCTGAGCTTGGAGAGGAACCTGCTAGGAAGCCTAGGGAAGCTTATATTGGGCACGTTCAAATTATTGGGGACAGACAGAGAGCTGCTCGCTTTGACTATGGTTGAGTATGCAGGTATGCCTGTGCAACCAAAGGTTTGTTATGGGAATGGGGTGCTTGTCTGGGTAAACATTGTAGATCATTGTAGGTCCCGTATGGCTCAGTTGGTTGAGCATGGCGCTTGCAATGCCAGGGTTGTGGGTTTGATTCCCACGGGGGACCAGTACGAAAAAGTATGAAAATGTATGCACTTACTACTGTAAGTCACTCTGGATAAGAGCGTCTGCTAAATGGCTAAAATGTCAAAGTAAATGTAGATCCTGTGCCTTCCAAGAAGGCATCCACAGGAAGTGAGAGTTCCAGTGACTCACCAGCCAGCGTCCATGGTTGGATGGGTGGAAGAAAGATGTGATGCTGTTGAAAAGGCCACTGAGCTGTGCCTGGGCTTGCTTAGTGGGGCCTCCCTGCAATCACAGAAACAGATGCTTAACAACTAAAATATATAGAATTCCATTGTTCTTTTCCTTAACCTTATTTAGGGGTACTATTGAGTCTTGTTATGTTTCAAGTATTTTTATGGCACGTGCACACGTACAGTGAAATGCCTTTCTTGCAAGCTCTAACCCCAATAATGCAGTAATCAATAACAATGTAATACTAAAAATAACTTAAGGTAGAAAAAAATTAGAAGACCACGATAAGGTAAGTAAGCATATACCATATACAGGGTCAGTTCCAGTACCATATTTACAATGTGCAGGGATACTGGAGTGATAGAGGTAGATATGTACAGTATAGAGGTAAGGTGACTAGGCATCAGGATATATGATGACCAGAGTAGCAGCAGCGTATATGATCATTGTATGTGAGTGGGTGTGTAGAATCACTATAAATGTATGTGTATATTATGGTGTGTGTGAGCAAATTATGAAGTGAGTGTGTGTTAGAGTGTCAGTGTGCGTGAGTGTGTAGGGCCCTGTGAGTATGCATAAAAAATAAACAATAAATACAAGGGTCAATTCAGATAGTCCGTGTAGCCATTTTGTTATTGCGGTCTTCTGGCTTGGGGATAGAAGCTATTCAGGAGCCTGTTGCTGTCAGACTTGATGCACCGGTACCGCTTGCTGTGCGGAAGCAGAGAGATAGAGGTCCTGGATGGCAGGGAGCTCGGCCCCAGTGATGTACTGGACTGTCTGCACCACCCTCTGTAGTGCCATGCGATGAAGGGCGGTCCTATTGCCATACCAGGCAGTGATGCAGCCAGTCAAGATGCTATCAAAAGGTACAGCTGTATAACATGGAGGATTTGAGGGCCCATGCCAAACCTTTTCAACCTCCTGAGGGGGAAGAGGAGCTGTCGCCGCCTTCTTCACGACTGTGCGCTAGTGTGTGGACCATTTCAAGTCCTTAATCATTTGGACAGCGAGGAACTTGAAACTCTCAACCCGCTTCACTGAAGCCCCATCGATGTGGATGGTGGCATGCTCGGCGTGCTCCCCCCCCCCGTTGGGCAGATCATGGCTGGTACTTCCTTTGTAATCCGTAATGGACTATAGCCTCTGCCACATGCAGCAGGTGTCGGAGCCTCTGTAGTATGATTCCACCTTATTCCTTTTGCTCGTTTGATGACTCTGGAGGTCATAGCGGGACTTCTTGTACTTGTTCATGTCCTCAGCCGTAGCTTCAGGGTTGTCTACGATATCCCTGTGTGCGGTAGCCTCATCCTTTAGTTTAGCACCAAACTCTCTGTTAATCCAGGGCTTAATGGTATCACAATGTATGATTACAGTATTTTTTCCCCTCTAAAAATAATGTAATTAATTTCCATCAGCCAATTATACATGAACAAATTGAAATAAACTTGGAGATATCAAAAGGATTGATTGGGCAACACAGATTGTGAACAGTGACTGACCAGTAAAGCGGAGACCCAGAGGACCACGTGCCCGACATCGTAGGCGTTTGTCAGGTATCTGGGAACCAGCATCTGACTGGTCCCCACCGGGAGATTCAGACTACGTAGGATTCTAGTGAAGATCTGGAATCAAAAAGGAGCAATCCGTGTGAAAATGAATACTTTATCATTAACTCACTGAATGTATTTTCCAATGCAGGGGTTCCCAACGCCAGTCATCGAGTACCCCCAACAGCACACATTTTTATTTTATCCCTGGACAAAAAACACCTGATTCAACTCACTGAGGGCCTGATGATTAGTTGACAAGAATCAGGTGTGCTTCTCCGGGGCTCCAATAAAAATGTGAATTGTTGGGGATACTCAAGGACTGGAATTGGCAACCATTTCATTACATCACATTTGAGATCAGGGCCTGTTGGCATAATTAAGTCAGATAACAGTAATGTAATCTGTATCAAAACATGCCAAAAGACAAGCCAGGAGGATCAACAGGGAAAAGTGATACAGTAGTTAGTGCCACTAACAGGCATCACCTTCAATGACTGTCTGGTCATGTCTAGTCTGCTATAACATGCACACCAACAACCAAAGGTCAAATTATCAGGGGTAAGATTTTCGCATGTTACACTCTCAGCCGATCCAAACTGGCTCACTACTCCTTCCCCTTCAATGTTTTGCAGATCTGAAGGGTATGGTAAGGTTTAAGTAGTTTAGTGCTGGAGCTTACACTATTGCTTACACTTTATAGATCTGCAAACATGGAAGTGTTAAAGAACGACTGCCCCTAAAACCAACTAACCCCTTTGAAAACGTCCTATGTGGCATCGATATGGGTCAGAAACATTTATTCTAGTGTCAAAATTGACTACAAAGTGTAAATAGGATAATTTTGGTCATAAAGTCAGTCTCATCTAAAACAGAGTTTGGAACCCTAGTGCATCACAACGGACAAATGAAGGTTGGGTTTGGATTACAATTATGTCAACAATTCATATCTACTTTTGCCTATTAACATGTGGTGGCACTGTGTTTTCTGGGAAAAGACTGGGCGAGTTCGCTTTGCATGGACCATCTTCTACTTCTAAGTAGCAACATTTTTTGGGGAGCTAGCTAGCTACATGTCATTATTTGATAGGCTATGCCACTATGATACTAGGCTATGATAATGTGATGTAACTAGCTGAATACATAGCCTCTCCCTAATGTGTAACGTGAGAGGAAGATTTGAATAGCTAACGTTGCACCTGAAGACAGGTTTGATCCCTGCTAGCTAACGTTAGCTAGCTAGCTCATAATCAAGTAAACCTGACATGTTTGATGCATGTTGCCAGCTTTCTTTCAATAATGTTTAAACTCGAACTGGCAAGCTACTGTCCTTGTTTGTTGTGATTGAATGGCAAAGACACACCCAAGAAACACCCACATCAAACCACACCCCCAAGACAACTCTTGTTTGCCTTCTGTGATGGCCACTAGCATTTCTTGATGAGCATTGATGAAAAACGAGGCCAAATCAGGAAGTAACGTTTTTTTTAAGGCCAAGGGGAAGGGGTAGGGAGTGAATTGGGACCTGCTGGAAGAGACCAATGGCGTAGCGTGGAGTTGATGGGGTAGTTTTACAGGCACAGCTAGACAAATGTTATTGATGGAGGATTGTCCTTACCTTCGGTATATAAGGATCCCAGTCAATGTAGCCAATGTTGTCGTTGGCCAAGCGGGCAAACAGGTTGACAAGATGCTGGGTAAACAAACCAAATAAAGGAATAAGGAAAACATTCATTGAGGAATAGCTAGCGAATGGTTCAACGTCTTCTGTTTCTATCAAAAGTAACGTTGGAAACTGTACTACAATAGCCTGGTGCCAGATCTGTTCCTGCAGTCTTGCCAACTTGCCAAGACAGCACAAACAGATCTGGCACCAAGCTAATACTACCACACACACCCATCAGTGTGTCAATCAAGTGAACGCTGTCTAACTTACCACCTCCCAACCTGGAAGGTTCTGTACTGCCACCCACAAGCTGATGAGCTCGTCAAACCACAACCTGGTGAACATAAAACAGTCTGTCAAACACCATACTTGCTATGCTACACACACAAATCTCATATGTGCGGCAGTTACACTGTGCTCAAGATATTACCTTGCCTTTCATTAGAGAATAACAATTGTGATAGTGTTTTGGGGGTAACATTTTGGGATTTCGTAGAGTTGAACAATTCCGGAAACGTTCCTGTAATCCTGAGGGAATAAGCAGTAAGGGAATCCTCCAACTGGGATTACTGAAAAACTTGGGAACTTTGGGAAAGTTTCCATAACTTTGCAACCCTATGAGGTGGCAGAGCTGTGTGTGTATATGTGTGCGTGTGTGTATGTGTTCTCACTTGAAGCCCTTGTGGTGCAGCTCTGGGGGTAGGGTGGTGGGGAGGAAGAGCTCAAAGTATCCTATAGCTCTCTGCATGGTCACATCAAACGGACAGAGCAGTGGACGCCACTCCTCCAACATCTCCTGGGTGGCCGACTCCGGGAAGTACCTGAAGAATAAAACAATTATATTATTCATTGAGCTACTGTTTGGTGTAATGTGTATGAGCCATATGCCTACAAACTGAAGACAATTTCTATATTAATTTATTTCCACTTGCCAAGGATCAACAATATGTGATGAGCATATGGCAATAGTTATGTTTAAACACCTGCAGAATCATCACAAATAATGAATTGACCATTTCATAAATAACTGACCTCACAGCATCCCACCCCAAGACATGCAAAGTGCAACATGCACGTAGACCAGACAATTGTCACAAACCAATGGCTGGCAGACAGAAATAGATTCCTTATAATATCATTTTTATTTTCGCTGCTATGGCATTAGCATTCAATTTGTACACAGTATATGAAACAATGGCAGTTAAACTGGTGTTTGTTTATATAAAACAGCATCAGTTTAGCTAATGTAATCAGATCATGAGAAGGCGTGTGTGAACACAATTGCAACAGCACTTCAACCTCAGAAGAGCAGTTGTGCAGGGTTTAAACTCTCCACCTCAACCTCTCACTCTCCCTCGCCTTAACCGCCCCCCTCTCGCTCTCCCTCCGCCCCCCTCTCGCTCTCCCTCCGCCCCCCTCTCGCTCTCCCTCCGCCCCCCTCTCGCTCTCCCTCCGCCCCCCTCTCGCTCTCCCTCCGCCCCCCTCTCGCTCTCCCTCCGCCCCCCTCTCGCTCTCCCTCCGCCCCCCTCTCGCTCTCCCTCCGTCCTTCTCTCGCTCTCCCTCCGTCCCTCTCCCTGTTTTCTCTGCTCACAGTAACAGGAAACTCTCTCCCAGACCAGAATTAGATTTAATAGGATTATTAACCAACTAGTCGGTACACTAGCAACTCAAGGACTCACTAAGTGACTAAGCTTCTCGACACACGCGTGTACACACAAACCTAGCCTTGCTTAGCATCCAGGGATGGAACTATCCATTATGACATTCACAAATTGTCAGTCAATATGCCTAAACTAATTCCCAAAGGGAGAATTCTTCCTGACAGTTCAGTTTCACAGAATGTGTCTTATTTAATCCAGAGTAGACACTTGGCTCTGTCTGCATCTCTACTCAAGGTCTATCATTCAATGGCAGGAGTGATGAAGTAAACACAATTGGTTAACAGGCCATGTGTAAGCATCAGGAATTTTGGAACAGAGACTGATTTGTTGCCGCAATTCCGAGAACAAACACTTGCATCTTTTATAGTGAGCTAGCGAGGGACGGAAAGATAGGGGAGGGGCACAGTATAGGCAGGTCGGCTACCAGGCAGACAGTCAGAACCATGCACTAGTCCTTTCTATCGGCAATCAAAAGCTCTATCTCGCAATTTCTTGGCTTGCAATATCTCACAACTTCAGTAAAGCAGGGCCTATCTTCAATGAATAGGCTAGGATATTCTACACACAACAGACCGAAGCCTGAACACACACTCGCATCATTAGCGAAGAGAAAGAACAGGCGAGCCAGCGCGAGGCTCTATCGCATTAGTGGAAACCAAGATTGTTCTCAGGGCAGGTCTGCCGGTTTTGACTAGCAGAAGTAACTTTTCGTAGCAGGATTGGAGGACATGTACAGCAGGTTAGGATAATTAACACGGCAGGTTAGGAGAATTTGGTTAAGGTTAGGAAAGGGTTAGCTAAAATACTAAAATTGTCCCAGATGACACGACTCAAACATATCTAGCTATAACCTGCCTTGAAACTGTCTTGATTTCCACTAATGCAATGCTGCCCGGGTAAGGGAGAGAGAGGAGGGGGCAGGCAGAAAGAACTGTGGTGTGCATACAGTGCTATGAAAAAGTATTTGCCCCCTTTCTAATTTTCTCTACTTTTGCATATTTGTGATACTGAATGTTATCAGATCTTCAACCAAAACCTAATATTAGATAAAAGGAACATAAGTGAACAAATAACACAACAATCACATATTTATTTCATAAACAAAGTTATGCAACACCCAATTCCCGTGTGAAAAAGTTAAAATAAAAAATAAATTAGTCATTTAGCAGACGCTCTTATCCAGAGCGACTTACAGGAGCAATTAAGGTTTAGTGCCTTGCTCAAGGGCACATCGACAGATTTTTCACCTAGTCGGCTCGGGGATTAGAACCAATGACCTTTCGGTTACTTGCACAATGCTCTTAACCACTAAGCTACCTGCCGCCCCATGTAATTGCCCCCTTACACTCAATAACTGTTTGTGCCACCTTTAGCTGCAATGACTTCAACCAAATGCTTCCTGTAGTTGTTGATCAGTCTCTCACGTCGCTGTGGAGGAATTTTGGCCCACTGTTACATGCAGAACTGCTTTAACTCAGTGACGTTTGGGTTTTCAAGCATGAACTGCTCGTTTCAGGTCCTGCCACAACATCTCAATGCAGTGTTTGGTTTTCGCCAGGCATAATGGGACCCATCTCGTCCAAATAGTTGACTCAAGTTTGCCAAAAAGCACCTGGATGATCATCAAGACTCTTGGAAGAACGTTCTATGGACAGATGATTCAAAAGTTTAACTTTTTGGACGACATGGTTCCAGTAATGCCTGGCGAAATCCAAACTCTGCATTCCACAGTAAGAACATCATACCAAAGGTCAAGCATGGTGGTGGTGGTGTGATGGTTTGGGGATGCTTTGCTGCCTCAGGACCTGGACGACTTGCCTTAATAGAAGGAACCATGAATTCTGCTCTGTATCAGAGAATTCTACAGGAGAATGTCAGACCATCCGTCTGTGAGCTGAAGCGCAGCTGGGTCAAGCAGCAAGACAATGCTCCAAAACACACAATGAAGTCTACATGAAAATTTCTAAAAAGCAACAAATTGGAAGTTTTGGAATGGCCTAGTCAAAGTCCAGACCTAATCCCAACTGAGATGTTGTGGCAGGACTTGAAACGAGCAGTTCATGCTTGAAAACCCACACGTCACTGAGTTAAAGCAGTTCTGCATGGAAGAGTGGGCCAAAATTCCTCCACAGCGACGTGAGAGACTGATCAACAACTACAGGAAGCATTTGGTTGGAGTCATTGTAGCTAAAGGTGGCACAACCAGTTATTGAGTGTAAGGGGGCAATTACTTCTTCACACAGGGGAATTGGGTGTTGCATAACTTTGTTTATGAAATAAATATGTAATTGTTGTGTTATTTGTTCACTTATGTTCCCTTTATCTAATATTAGGTTTTGGTTGAAGATCTGATAACGTTCAGTATCACAAATATGCAAAAGTAGAGAAAATTAGAAAGGGGGCAAATACTTTTTCATAGCACTGTATGTCTTGGTAAATCTGTATCTTGCCTTGCAATATGTTTTGTGATAATTTCACAAGTGTTGTCACGTTACCAGATTTTGGACTTCGATACCAGGTTTAGTGTCACGATACTCTATACTGAAATGATACTCTATACTGAAATGATACCACAGCAAAAAAAAAAAGAATGCGTATTAGCTAGTCACAGAATAAACAATGGGCTTTATTTTTTTCACATTGAACAATATGTTGGTAGAACAACTAAAATAAATAGAATATCTTCTATTCTACACTGAACAGAACATATATATACGCAACATGTAAAGTGTTGGTCCCAAGTTTCATGAGCTGAAATAAAAGATCCCAGAAATGTGTAGTACGCACAAAAAGCTTGTCTCTAAAATGTTGTGCACAAATTTGTTTACATCCCTGTTAGTGAACATTTCTATTTTGCCAAGATAATCCATCCACCTGACAGCTGTGGCATATCAAGACGCTGATTAAACAGCATGATCATTACACAGGTGCACCTTGTGCTGGAATCAATAAAAGGCCACTAAAATGTGCAGTAGGCCTAAATCCAACCTTGAGCTCAGCAACTGAATTCTTACAAAAATTATACATATACTTTAAAAAATGTATAAATATATACTTACGGTCTGCAGCTTTTCACAAGTGTTTTCAACACGTTTTCCACCGAGCTGGAAACAGAGAGAGGGAGGAGAGAGAAAGAGAGAGGGAAAGATAGAAAGAGAGATGAGACATCAGAACAGAGACAGATGTGCAAAGGTGACTGTTAAATCAAACAATGAGCACACTGAACACACCAATGCAATTAGGACAAGGATGACTGACAATGCAGGTACAGCCAAATAACTCACATTTAAATTCTGCTTATATAGTGTGCTCATCAAGTGTAGTGAGAAAAGTGCTGGCTCTGTACTCATTTAGGGTGTGGTGCTCATTTCAAGTAATATTCATATATTATAGAGCAAATATTATGGTGCCTGTAATCAAGCAGTAGAGAGACAAGTGTATGTACCGGATCAACTCAAACACTGATCAGAAGTAAGGGATGTGTGGGGCGGGTGTGTACATACATAGAGCAAGGGAATCGGGGACACAAACTGGCATAGCATGACAAAAGGACTACAGAAACATCAACAGAACTAAAGTAATTGACTAGAACAATGTGACTATTCCAGGGCCGTTCAACCTTTGTCCTGGATGGCTATGGGCCAGCAGTGTAACAGCAACACATGAATGGTAATTGATTAACAGATTTACTCTGTTCATTCTTAATCATCAGTATGAGGCCTTTTATTGGGCTTAGGGAACTGTCTATGAGGGAAAAAGACGAGGCCTGATGCTTTATGTAGACGAGGCCTGATGCTTTATGTAAACAGTAGGACTAGCCTTTATTACTTGTAATGAATGCTGACCTTGACAGTGGAGAGAGTTGCCCTTTGGCCGAGGGTATCTGCCTATTGTTTGAGGCTTTTTATCACCTAACCTGACTAAACAGTAATCAGTAGGGAATGCAACGGAAAAGGTTTTCCAACGGAAAGCGGTCTGGACAAGTTCAAGTAGTCCCTTGAAATGAGCATTTCTCACTGCCATTGTCCATTTTCTTCTGTTTGGTGCCTAAATAATACAACCAATACTAGGCCTACATTACAGTATTTCTGACTGCTGTTAGCGGCTTTTGTTTGGTTACTTTTATTTTGGCACAGTTACAATGGGGCCTCTCTGCATATAATGGCTTATAGAAAAGGTTAAACTCATGTCACTCAACTCAGTGTCACATAACTAACAGTATCAAAAGATTTAGCTGAGGACCAATATAACCCCAGCCGTTGAGCTCAAACACGCTCAATCCCCCTGTCTTCCCCTCCACTCACACGCATGCTGAGCTCAAGCCATGCGTTCTAAACTGCCCCTCTATCCCATTCAACCGCGCTCTAAGCTCTGTTCCATTTAAGTATTTTTCAAATCAACCTGATTGCATTGCTTTAATTCAACATAAGTGACTTCTGCCAAGGGCTCTTGGCTTTGCATCTCAGGGCTTGAGTGAGTTAGGTTGTGTCCCAATAATAGCCTAATCTCTCCTTTCTCCCAAATGTGCACTTGTTCACTTCCCTTCATGGACTTCAAAGGAAATGACTGCTAGGCCTATATGGAAACTCCCTCTAGCCCATTCCAACACAAATACAATGCTTTTAAATGTGTGGGAAGTAGTGAAAGAATGCACACTAACTAAAGTGCCCTTATAGGCCTACTTCCCACAGACAGACCACACTGACAATCACCAAATTAATGCACTGAAATACAAATACAAAGCAGCATGACCAGAACACCATTACCAACGGCCCCGACACTCAACCATATGCATTATAAGGAGGCATATTTTGCACAGATCTGTGCTCTTTTGTACCACAAAGATGTTACCCATCATGGCCGTTTAGAAACAGGTGACTTCAGAATGGGCTAGGCTACTCTAGGAGGTACTGCTGCAAAACCTCCAGTGCTGACAGAGTGGGTCAATCCACCAAATCATATGGGACTTGACAAAGAAAGGGGGAGGGGGATATAGGGGGGTACAGAGTCCAGATAGATGCAGTGCGACAGTCTCCAATATGAGTGAAATGTTAACATTGCTTTTTGGTTGATTTGTAGTTGATTTTATGTCAAACAAGCTGCGTGGGGGTGTCCAGTATGCTTTTTGGTTTTCAACATGCAACATGGAAAAATTTAAATCAAAGAGTGCCTCAATAAAAGGATTCAATAAAAAAAAAATACACAAAAGAGTAGTGTTGTCCTTACCACCTCTGAAACAATTTTATCATTACGTGTTTAGAGGAAGCACGAGGCCGTAGGGAACTGAATGTGAGAGGAGACAAAGGCATTAAAACACATTCAGATCCACACTATGAAAAGCCACTTCAATATCAATTAAATACATCAGAAAAAAATGATAACACCTTTTTTTGTACTGCAGCAGCGGCATTGCACATTTTCTGATCTGTTTTTTTTTCACGGCTCGTTTTCTTTAAAAACAAAGAAGGGCCAAGCATCAGTAAACCGTGGCAGTTTGCTTCCCCTTGGTGAGAGAGCCGATTACTTATGTGCTAGCAAGTCTTTGTTGTGACACACAATGTTCCCATAGAACCATACAAGAGCACCTCGCACTGCTTGCTGGGAAAAAAAGGGGTGGGAGGGGAGTGGGTTTCCACTAGATTCCACAGCCACAAAGTCAAAATTGGATATATCGTAAAAATGTATGAACATTTGCTTTTTGGTCTTAATTTAAGGTTAGGGTTAAGCACAAGGTTAGCAGTGTGGTTAAGTTAGGGTTAGGTTTAAAATCACATTTTAAGAAGATAAATTATAGAAATAGGCGGGGTTTACAACTTTGTAGCTGTGGAAGCTAGTGTTGACCAGGGAATGGGGCTCTTGGGCTATATGCCACCTGAGGTTCTGTTGGGGGTAGGTGGAGGTACAGATTTTTCCACTTTCAGAAATTAGCCTAGGCAACAACAGGGGGCAGGGATAACAGAGAAAATATGTACATGTAAGAAAGGAGGGGGGAGAAGGGAAACTGAACTGTGTGCTGAACTGTATTAGGCAGTACCATAGCAATAGGCAGTACCAATACATCGCCAACAGATACCAACAGAATAGAGCAATGTTTTTCACAATAAACCCATTTATAACACCCCTAGAGATTCAGGAGTCAGCTCCATAAAAAAAACATTAAAAAGGTAGACTCATCGATATTACATCATCGTGCGAAGCGGGGCACCGCCACCTTCCTGCTTTTAGAACCTTCCCAGCATGCATCAAGGGAGGGCTCAAAACGGGAAGAACCAATAGTGGCAGTCTTGGACGATTTATGTATGTCATTGTATGTCACCCCGCAGTGTATGATGATGTCATAACACAGACTTTACCTTTAAGGTTTTACAGCTGAGTAGGTTGGTTTCAATGTGTCAATATGCAGTTCTTAAAAACCAAAAAATCTGTTTTTAACCGTGCTGGTAAAAGAGAAGAGGGGCATACTTGGGGAACCAGTTTAGGCCCAGGTGTTCAGTCTTTGAGTAGAGGATCCTGTCTTGCAGCTCGTACAGGGGTCTCCAAGGCAACTCAAGGTCCTCCCGCGACAGCAGCTCTCTTTTCCTGTTAGAAATAGAGTAGGTGGGGTTAACATATGTAAAAGGACTTCATTTAAACGATCATGTCACCCTTGCCTCAAAGAGCTTCACACAATTAGGTGAGTGAAGGGTTCAATTTATGGAGAGTATTTCAACTCTGAAACGTGAGTGACACTTGAGCTTCGCACACAATGAGGAAATCAGTAGACCAATCAGTCACTGACAAACCAAGAAAATAAATTATACATTGACATTTTTGTCATTTAGCAGATGCTCTTATCCAGAGCGACTTCAGAGCGACTTACAGTAGGGAGTGCATACATTTTTCATACTGGTCCCCCGTGAGAATCGAACCCACAACCCTGGCGTTGCAAGCGCGATGATCTACCAACTGAGCCACACAGGAGGCTGTTTAGAGTCCTATAATGTGACATTGATTGATGAGGTGGGCGAGGCCTTGCATCATGCTGATCTCCAGCTTATGGATGTGTGTGTTTGGATGCGTGACCGTGTGTGTTTGGAGGCGTGACCGTGTGCGTTTGGAGGCGTGTTTGGAGGCGTGACCGTGTGCGTTTGGAGGCGTGACCGTGTGTGTTTGGAGGCGTGACCGTGTGTGTTTGGAGGCGTGACCGTGTGTGTTTGGAGGCGTGACCGTGTGTGTTTGGAGGCGTGACCGTGTGCGTTTGGAGGCATGGCCGTGTGCGTTTGGAGGCGTGACCGTGTGCGTTTGGAGGCGTGACCGTGTGCGTTTGGAGGCGTGACCGTGTGCGTTTGGAGGCGTGACCGTGTGCGTTTGGCGGCGTGACCGTGTGTGCTTGGATGCGTGACCGTGTGTGTTTGGAGGCGTGACCGTGTGTGTTTGGAGGCGTGACCGTGTGTGTTTGGAGGCGTGACCGTGTGTGTTTGGAGGCGTGACCGTGTGTGTTTGGAGGCGTGACCGTGTGTGTTTGGAGGCGTGACCGTGTGTGTAGCCCGTGGTCTTACTTGAGGAGGTTGATGAGTAGCCGGGCGAGGCCTTGCATCATACTGATCTCCAGCTTGTCGATGGTGATCAGCTCGTACAGCAGCTTGATGAACAGCACATGGTCCTCCTTGCTGAACTTCCTGCCGTACAACCGCATGTACCTATAAGAGAAGAACAGCTTTAGGCTACAGCCACAAAGAGACGCATGAACGCGGATTAAATCATATATGCATTCAACAATTGTCTGTTTTTGTCCATCAAAAGTTGATTTCAACGCAACTATTTTCGGACGAGCTGCATATGCAAAAAAGGCTGACAAAGGCCTAGTGTGTTTGACAGACTATCAACTCTGTTTACCAACATCTGTCAAAGGAGGACTCGCATTTGAAACCCATTGGTACAATCAGGAATTTTCAGACAAAAAATTATGTGGCCGCAGCCATAGGGCTATGCCTATAGCTAGCCTGAGCATCCATACCACGCCATTCAAAGTGAGCTGGCTCCGGAGTCTGGTCAGGGCCAGACTAGAATATAGGCTAGCCTCCTTGTATAGAGCAGAATGGATAGAATAGAGAAAAGACTCTCTGAGCTACCCCACCAAGACAAAGTTACTACTACTAGAGCAGATGCACACGAAATATGTGCAAACGTTCAGCTGCACAGACACATGTTCCTGAACAACAAAAACAGCTTCATGGGTATAGCCTAGTATAGAACAGGTGAATAGGAAATATGTGCAAAGCTGATTGGGAAGGAGAAGATGGGGATTAGACCAATAGCTAGGCCTTTAGGAGATTATGTTATTCAAGGAAAGAAACTCCCACACACAAAGCTTGCAAAGTAACTACAACTTTTATTAAACCTAGGCCTAATTGCTAAGTTTCTTTCCTGTGAATAACATTCAAACATTTCTGATACATCTGCTGGGAATTCTCTCCCCCCTCCATATAGGCCATTCCAATGTGCTCAGGGCCAGGCAACAACTGTACAGACCACAGAGATAGGCCTACTATGCCTGCATTGAATGCTTCTTGTTCTTGCTGAGGAGCCAAAATACTTGTGTAGCTCTAGAATCTAGATCAACTATTGAGAGCAGAGTTTCCATTTCTCTGAGTCTGGGCTGAGCCGGCAGTGACTCAGTCATAGCCTGGTCGGACATGCCAACGCAGCATTAGTCCCAAATGGCACCCTATTCCCTACTTCTGACCAGGGCCCATAGGGAATAGGGTGCCATTTGGGACATAACCTAGGACCAACTGACACAGCCTAAGGTTAAAGACAGCCTACTGAGCCTAGCTAGTACAACCAGATAAAACATGGCAAACACACAACAGACAGAGAAACCTGATGTAATGTTACAACATCAACAAGGTGTGAAGACACTGTCTAAGTGCAGCTATTCCCATAAACCAGTACGGAGCCTATATATTTGGAACAGGTCTCTTCTGATTTGGGGAGATCTGATGAGTGCCTTACATTCAGAACTTCTGAACTGGCTCTCACAACAGCATCCAATCTTATGTAGCCTGACACTTTATAAATTATATAGGCTATTCTCTACTGAAGGTATAGGCCTGGGGGCGCGTTCAGTAGGACGCAACATTTTGGAACGTTCATATAGAAATATGCCATGTAGGCCTCCCGAGTGGCACAGTGGTCTAAGGCACTGCATCGCAGTGTTGCGGCGTCACTACAGCCTGGGGTTCGATCTCAGGCTGTCACAACCGGCCGTGACCGGGAGTCCCATAGGGCGTCGCACAATTGGCCCAGCATCGTCCGGGTTAGGGGAGGGTTTGGCCGGGGGGGGCTTTACTTGGCTCATTGTGCTCTAGCGACTCCTTGTGGCGGGCCAGGCACCTGCAGGCTGACTTCGGTCGTCAGTTGACCGGTGTTTCCTCTGACACATTGGTGCAGCTGGCTTCCGGGTTAAGCGAGCGGGTGTTAAGAAGCATGGCTTGGCGGGTCATGTTCTAGAGGATGCATGACTCGACCGTCGCCTCTCCCGAGCCCATGGGGAGTTGCAGCGATGAGACAAGATCGTGATTGGATCGCAATTGGATATCACGAAATTGGGGAGAAAAAGGGGGTAAACATTTTAAATAAAAACATATATGCTATGTAGAAAAAACATGCATATCTGACATGTAGAATAAGGAATCACGTCGGCTCCATTTGTGGAATTTCTATCTGCCACGTTCGAGAATGTTTTGGTACTGAACATGGCCCTGGGTATAATCAGGATGTGGTACAGTTCATGTACACTCAACCACTGTTTACATCAACCTTGTGTAAGGCCTTATTATGGTCGTCTAACTTTATTACTGCTCACTGTGCTGTACCAAATAAAATAAAATTGTATTTGTCACATGCGCCGAATACAACAGGTGTAGTAGACTTGACCGTGAAATGCTTACTTAAGAGCCCTTTCCCAACAATGCAGAGTTAAAAAGTAAGAAAATAGTAACACAATAAACTAACAATAACGAGGCTATATACAAGGAGTACCGGTACCGAGTCAATGTGCAGGGGTACGAGGTAGTTGTACATGTAGGTAGGGTAAAGGTGACAAGGCAATCAGGAACAAGGCCTAAAATTTACTTTTTGGTCCACCAGCCACAGATTTTTTTACCAGCCAAAATACTTTCCCCCTAACATTACACCAACAAAACAAGATGAACAGGCTTTGTAATGTTTCTAAAACAATAAATGTATTACTATGTAGTAAGAAGTAATGTGGTATATTGTTTAATTTCATTTTGTGACCCGAGTCTTTTAACCAAAAGATCACAGATGAGACAAAAAATGTTGCCTGCCCCTTTAAGTGCAGGAGGTTACAGTGAGATTGAGTCTGACTAGTAGCTGGGTTGCCTTCTTTTTGTAACAGTTTAAACTCAAACATTGAAAAACAACCTAGCTTGGGAACAAAACAAGGTAAATAGCCAAGAAACACGAGGACAAAGTCTCACTAAAGTAGACTTTTGTTTCAAGTAAATTAGACCAACTTTTATTCCTGCGCACAGCCCCAAGCCAGACAGTGTTGCAGCGCGAGGTGGGATTGGCTATTGTAGGTTTCATAGTTCTTTGACTTTATCCGATTAATTTACCAGCTATGAAACAAAACGGCAGAAATACATTGAAAACAGCTACTGCACCATTTATTTTGCTATAAATGTGATCATACTTTCCTATTTTTATTCACAAATGCGAGTGAAATTCTCGCACTGGAGCCCTGATCACCCGCCAACGTGGCTGGTGAAATAGACATCTTACCCGCCAATGTCAAAATCTACCCGCATTTGGCAGGTGTTAATTTTAGGCCCTGATCAGGATAGATAATAAACAGAGTAGCAACCGAGTATGTGAAGAGTGTGAAAGTGTGTCTGTGTGAGTGGCGTCAACATGCATGTGTGTGTGTGTGTTTTGTGTGTGTGAGCATATGTAGTGTGTGTGTGTTTTAGAATGTCAGTGTAGTATTTGTGAGTGTGTGGGTAAAGTCCAGTGAGTGTGCATAGAGCCAATACAACAACAAAAAAGGGTGTTGATGCAAGTAGTATGGGTAGCCATTTGAGTAACTATTCAGCAGTCTTATGGCTTGGGGGTAGAAGCTGTTTAGGAGCCTTTTGGTCCCAGACTTGGCGCTCCGGTACTGCTTGCCGTGCAGTAGCAGAGAGAACAGTCTGACTTGGGTGGCTGGAGTCTTTGACAATTTTTAGAGCGTTCCTCTGACTCAACCTGGTATAGAGGTCCTGGATGGCAGGAAACTCCTTCTGTACTATGCCGAACGCACTACCTTCAGTAACGACTTATGATCGGATGCCAAGCATTTGCCATACCAAGCTGTGATGCAGCCAGTAAAGATGCTCTCAATGGTTCAGCTGTAGAACTTTGAGGATCTGAGGGCCCATGGCAAATCTTTTCAGACTCCTGAGGGGGAAGAGGTGTTGTCTGGCCCTCATCACGACTGTGTTGGTGTGTTTGGACCATTATAGGTCCTTAGTGATGTGGACGCCGAGGAACTTGAAGCTCTCGACCCGCTCCACTACAGCCCCGTCAATGTGAATGGGGCCGTGCTCGGACTGCTCGCGGCTGGGTTTCCCTTTGTAATCTGTGATAGTTTGCAAGTCCTGCCATATCCGACGAGCGTCAGAGCCAGTGTAGTAAGATTCGATCTTGGTCCTGTATTGACGCCTTGCCTGTTTGATGGTTCGGAGGGCATAGCGGGATTTCTTATAAGCGTCCGGATTAGTGTCCTGCTCCTTGAAAGCGGCAGCTCTAGCCTTTACCTCAGTGCGGATGCTGCCTGTAATGCATGTATTCTGGTTTGGATATGTATGTACGTACGGTCACTGTGAGGACGACGTCGTCGATGCACTTATTAATGAAGCCGGTGACTGATGTGGTACATTCCTCAATGCCATCGGATGAACCCCGGAACATATTCCAGTCTGTGATAGCTAAACAGTCCTGTAGCTTAGCATCTGCTTCATCTGACCACTTCCGTATTGAGCGCATCACTGGTACTTCCAGCTTGAGTTTTTGCTTGTAAAGTTATGGTCAGATTTGCCAAAACACTGATATTGAGGATATCAGTGTTTACATCCTGAATCACAGTCAGCTATGTATTGTGTGTGTCACCAAATACCTCAGGAGGTCACACAGCATTTATGTGTGACTGCATGTCATATAAGGCATCACTGGCAGTGATAAGGCTATATGTGAACAGTGAGTGTGAAAGCAGACATTGAACAATCAGTGAGCCCTAAACTAGGGACTATGGTAATTTGAGTAGCCTACTTGTGTTGTGTAGTTATGACCATTAGTTGAATGCCATGTGACAGCAAACCTGAACTCCCTATTGGAAAATAATATTGATGATATTTGGGAATGTTTGGGGAAAGTAAGAAATGTTTGTTTCACCTTGACATTTTTTATGTTGTTTTTGTCATCTCTAATCAATACAGCTAGCTAAATCATGGGTCTCTGTTGTAAAACTATCAACACAGAATCTTGTGAAGTCATTGCAAGTTAACACAACAGCCTTGGTTTAAAAAAAAAAAGTAGTCCTCCCATTAGATTGTATCTACCATACAGTCACAGTGACTAAGCAACGCCTGGCCAATTTAGCTAGCCTAAGTGAAGACATGGCTTGTTAAGAGGGATTTGGACAATAGGGTCATGATGGCAGTGACATTGGGCAAAATCGTTTTGTATAGCCCGGTGCCCCGGGTGGGTAGAGATTTCACTTTGGACCAATGGAATAGTCTAAAATATGCAAACCCCGCCTAACCGGTGCACGGAACAATGTAAAACAAACTCGCTCAGTGTCTCAATTAGCTACCTAGCTAGCTGGGCCATTAGGGTACATGGAAACTGATGTTAGAAATATAAAGTCGTCACTCTGTGGCAAGTCACCGGTAGTACAACTAACGTTAACTAGTTAGGCCTACAAGCATGTTTACAAACAAGATGCAGCTAGTTTAGGGAGTATTTTGCTAGCCTAGTTAACTAGCTGGCTAGAAACGGTCGTATTCTAATGACACAGCAATTGGTACTTAGCACGGCGTTGCTTATGGCCACTGCTAACATTACTCATATCGTGATTTATGACATGTCATTAGCCATGTTCCTTGCTATCTCGGGATTGACATTTCAACGCTTACTGGCAGCTGCCTGGCTATGTTATCATTCTTACACTTTTGCGCACAAAACACATCTAGCTAGCTACCTCACGTCAGAGCTTGCTTCTTGGCCTGGCTAATCCTGCTAGCTGCTAAATCCACAACGGCCCGCCCAGTCAGTGACAGTGATGCCTACACCGATTTCAAAATACACCGGTCAAATAGATATGTTAGCTAGCTAACTACCGGTAGGCAGCCCACTTGCTCCAACGTAAATCGAACCTTAGTTAGCTATTGATAGCTTCTAACACTATTTGGCAAAACCAAATGTAACTAGATAGCTAGTTCGCTAGCCACGTGTTAGCGACCTAAATTAATTTACAGGGCAGGTGAATGACCAACTACGAGCTTCTACATTGTTTTCTGTTTGGGGTTTTAGGATGGGTTTCAGTATAAGCACTTTGTGACATCTGCTGATGTAAAAAGGCCTTTATAAATACAGTTAATTGATTAACTAGTTAGCTACTGTAGCTAGTTAGAAACCACAACTGAACTGGGTTAGCGAACGTTAGCACTTACGTGGAAAGTTTCCTTGTCCAAAACAAGACACCCGGCCATATCTCTCGAAGCTGGACAGCCCGGCCCAAGTTTCCTTTGATTTTACGCAAAATGTCATTGGATTCCTCGTCTAATATATCCGCGTATGGCAGAAGTTTGTTGTAGACGATGTCTTTTTGAGGGACAAATCCTAATTTCTCCGACACGTCTTCTTTCATATTACAATTTCCCAAATGTATGTTTTGTTCTCTTCTTTGCTTGACAAACTACTGTATTTAACTAGCTCGTAGTACGTTAGCTAGCTTTGTTTAATCAGTTTGTATCCTTCTGTGTAACTTCGTAATACCGTTAGCTTGCTAGCTAGCTACAACAAGTTAATGTAATAATGTTTCCTTTGTAACACCATGCTAGCTAAATATCACAATTGGGCATTGATATGACTACACAAAAATGTAGATATCCGATTCAGTCGAAGATGCTTTCTTGAAAGAGTGCGTTGGCACTTAAAATTGGTTTCTTCTCAAATAGCTAGCTAACCTTCTGTTGCTAGATACTTATATCCGTCTGATTACTTTCAACCTTTCTTTACGAGACACCATGCCAGACACCCACCCACGCAATCGGCTCCTCCCCTAGAGTCATTTGCGTCATTTTCGCAAGAAAAAAAGAACTAGCGTGTTCTTCTTCTTCTTTGGGATTGGGTTGGCGGATCGCATCCAATTTAAGGTGCATACACCGCCACCTACTGTACTGGAATGTGTGGCCATTCACGGCCTACCTACATCAATAATATAATAATATGCCATTTAGCAGACGCTTTTATCCTAAGCGACTTACAGTCATGTGCGCATACATATTTACGTATGGGTGGTCCCGGGGATCGAACCCACTACCCTGGAGTTACAAGCACCATGCTCTACCAATTGAGCTACAGAGGACCACATTAAATTATTTGCGATACAATACGTCCCTATTTTTCTAAAAGCCCAGTCGATGAAACCAATCTTCTTATTATTGTTCTTCTTCTGTGGGTTTAGTGGCAAACTACACATTGACAAAAAAAAAAAAAACTCCCACTTCTTCCTTCCTTAAAATCTCCATATTTCCCTTCTCAAGTTCTATGGCCTAAGAGGATGGTATGACTTCTGACAAAACTCTATGCAACTCCTCTGCTGAGAAGTCTTTCAGTCCCAGTGACGATAGTTACCAGAGTTGTAACTCCAGTTCTATGAGTGGAGCGGAGCCCCATAGGGGAGCTCTGCTCCTATTGGTTTACCCCGCTGCCTAGGCAGCGAACAGCCTGAGACAAAATTATGCACACACCTGCAGCCAATAGGAGTACAGGTGTCCCTATAAGGCAGGTCCCTATAAGAGGGGACGCCTCCCCTCAATCAGCCTCCCGAGATATTTATCTTCAGCGAGACTAGAGAGGGTCGGCAGGGCCTTAAGTCCTATGGGGCTCCGCTCCACTCATAGAACTGGAGTTACACTCCGGTAACTATCGTTCTATATCGTGGAGCTCCGCCCCATAGGGGAGCTCTGCTCCTATTGGTTTAAGGCGGAGCGCAGTGCTCCAAAATGTACTCCCTGCCGAGCCCAACACTTCCCACTTAAATGAAAAGGTCGGGCCTAGCAATGGCTGCGACCAAGTCCCACAGTACTGTGACACACTGTGTCACAATATACTGTGTCCTCAGTACAAATCCGCCCCACCTAGTCCAATGGCATTGCCAATGTCTAGTGGGCAGATAACCAGAATATGAGTCATACTAATCTGAGCCAACAGATAGATGACGTCACAATTCCGTCAATATTTTATGACTGGTCTAATAGTAATGTAACAAAGTTACAAAAACTATTTCCCTCATCATCCCGCCCCAACCCAGTAACACTGGTGGGCAGATTAATAACATTCCCTCTACTGTACTGAACATGTCAGTCAGGAGTCATGTCATATACGTCTCCCTCTAACAGGAGCGGACCTGAAAGAGACCTACCTCTTTAGTCCTGCAGTCCTTTGTCCTAGCTCAAGGTCTCCCATCAGCTACGCTGAGTACAGACCGAGCCAAAGAGTTAGAAGACATATCCAAAAGATAGAAACGGATAAATAGAGACGGTGACGACCACGACGCCGCTGCACAGATATCCTCTACCCCTGTTCCTCTGAAAAGGGCAGTAGAAGCCGCTACTCCACGAGTGGAGTGGGCTCTTATACCCTGAGGCAATTGTCGCCCCGCTGCCTCATAAGCTGTCTCAATGCCTTCGCAAAGCCAATGAGACAGACGCTGTTTCGAAAGTGGTCTACCTAGTGCAGCCGCACCGTGACACACAAACAGCTGAGGCGATGACCTTATCGCTGCTGTGCGCTCAACGTAACACGCCAAAGCGCGCACTGGGCACAGGCGATGGAGCCTTTCCCCTCTCCTCTCCCCATGGGGAGGGGGAGAAAAAGCCCACAGCTCCACAGTCTGTGATCTATATGAGCTCTTAATAACCTTCGGCATAAATGCCGGGTTAGGACGTAACACCGCTCTGTTCAAATCGCCATTAATGGCAAGGCAGTCGGGTCTCGTCGAAAAAGCACACAAATCACTGACACGCTTAGCAGTAGTCAAAGCGAGCAACAGTGCCGTCTTCACAGACAGCATCTTGAGGGAAATTTGGTTCAATGGTTCAAACGGCGGCTCGCAGAGCGCTTCGAGTACCAGAGCCAAATCCCACTGCGGAACCGTGGCTCGAGGCGTTGGCCTAAGCCTCTGTGTTTCTAAAAGGAAACGTTTCACTAGAGGGTGGCTGAAGACAGTGTCTCTGCCAAACCCCTCATGACAAGCCGAAAATCGCAGCTGCAAACACCTTAATGGTGGCGGGTGATCGTTGCTTCTCAAATAAGAACTGTAGGAACGAGAGAACACTCTCAACCTGACAGCACACGGGGTCCACATTTTCTGTGGCACACCACTGTGAAAACACGTTCCATTTGCTGGCATAAACCCTGGAAGTGGAACTGGCACGTGAACCCTGTATGTTTCTGATTACAGAATCAGATATCCCACGGCGCTCTAGCCAGTCCCTCTCAGGAGCCAAACTTTCAGTGGTTGGCCGATTATGGGCAACTGCCCTATCGCATCTCATGCCTGAGACAACGCGTCCCGTTGATGTGGAATTGGCCAAGGTGGCGCACTCAACATCTGAATCATCTCCGCGAACCATGGAGCCCCTGGGCGATCGGGAGCCACCAATATGATTGACAGCCCGCCTGATCTCACCCTGGCTAACAGTGGGAGAATGCAGGACAGCGGTGGGAAAGCATACAGGAGAACTCTCGGCCACGGTCGGTGCGCAAATGCGTCCCTCCCCAGTGGTGGTTCGTCCTGAGCTCGAAGAGAGAACCAAAGAGGGCATTGCACATTCACGCATGACGCGAATAGATCCACCTCTCCCGAACCGTTCCCAAATCTGGAGAACGATGTTCGGGTGCAGACGCCACTCGTCGTCTCGAGGACCCCCTCGAGACATGATGTCTGCCCCTACGTTCAAGTAGCCTGGAATGTGTGCTGCTCTCAATGAGCAAAGGTGCTCGTGAGCACACAGCCACAATTCCTCCCCCGCCTGGTGGAGTGCAGGAGACCTGACTCCTCCCTGGCGATGTTGTCTGACCAGACCAGCACATCGCGACCCCGAAGGGTAGACGCGAAGTGGGTCAGAACCAGTAGAACCGTTTCCAACTCTAAGAGGTTGATGTGACGACTCAAAAGAGGCCACACACCTCCTATCGCTTTGGTCTGACATGTCCCTCCCCATCCAGTCAGAGAGGCATCTGTAAACACTGGAATGTAGGAGGACACTTTGCCCATTGGGACTCCGTGTGTGAGAACATGCGGGTCTCTCCAATAGTTCAGATCTGCACTGAGCGAGAGAGGTACCACCACCAACCGACGACGTTGACGCAATGGGTCTAGTCGTAGTTGGGCGAACCATCGCTGTATCCTGCGCATGCGCAGGAGTCCCAGCGGAACCACGAAATGGGCCGACAACATGAGACCCAAGAGTGACATGACCGAAAGCGCCGTTACCGTGTGATTCGGACGAAACCGTCGTAGGGCTAGCAACATAGCAACCCTTCGAGGGTCCGAAATTTGAGCCCTCATCATCACAGTGTCTATCTGTATCCCCAGATAAACAATCTGATGACAGGGCCAGGGTGTGCTCTTTTTCCAATTCACAGCGAACCCCAGACGCGTGAGATGAATCACTGTCTGTGTCGTGTGAGTGAACGCCAGCTCTGCTGACGGGGCGAGAACCAGTAGGTCGTCTAGGTAGGCTAGTAGCCTTATTCCAGGGGTGTCAAACGTCCGGCCCATGGGCCGGATCAGGCCTGCAAACGGGTTTAATCCGGCCCGCGAGATGATTTTGTAAAGTATAAAAATGAGCTGCAATTTTTCAATAAAAGAAACTGCTGTTCCAATTGCATCCACTGGATTTATACCGGGGCAGAGCAAGTAGGTCAAGCAAGTGCAGCCAGTCCTGATGAGCTACTTTTACTTGTTCCAAGAAAAATGGTCATCCTCCTATTTATTCACGGAATTGAATGGGAAAGCTGTATGTTTGGTGTGTTCACAGCATGTTGCAGTGCTGAAAGATTATAACCTTTGTCGCCACTATGTGAGTCTTCATGCTGACAAATATGACAACTTTCAAGGACAGCGGAGAGGAGAGAAGGTGAATGAACTGTTGGCGGGTCTGAAGAAACAGCAGTCTGTGTTTACTCACAACCGAGACATCAGTGACGCTGCAGTGAAAGCTAGCTACCTCATTGCTAATGAAATCGTAGTGGCTTCAAAACCATTTAGTGAAGGTGAATTTGTAAAAACATGCATGATGAAGGCAGCGGAGATTGTGTGCCCTGAAAAGCGGCAGGCTTTTGCAAATATCAGCCTGACAAGAAACACAGTTGCAGACAGGATTTCCGATCTTTCAGTGGATTTGGACAGCCAGTTGAAGCAAAAAGTAAAGTCATTTATTGCGTTTTCGGTTGCAATTGATGAAAGCACGGACATTACAGATGTTGCACAACTGGCCATTTTCATCCGCGGAGTTGATGACACATTGACCGTCACCGAGGAGTTTGTGGAGTTGGTGCCGATGACAGATACAACGACAGCAGCTGATATTTTCACCGCACTCGTCGGCGCGCTGGACAGGGTCGGAGTGGACTGGTCCCGCGCTGTCAGCCTGGCTACAGATGGTGCGCCCTCAATGATCGGGAAAAAAGCAGGCGTTGTGACAAAGTTCAGAGAGAAAGTACAATCTGCAAATGGAGGACGTGATTTTTGGACTTTCCACTGTATTTTGCACCAGGAGGCTTTGTGTTGCAAGTCATTAAAGATGGATAACGTCATGAAGGTGGTCATCCAAACTGTTAATTTCATCCGATCCAGAAGCCTGAATCACCGTCAGTTTGACAGCCTTCTCAGAGAGAAAGACCACATCTATGGCCTGCCATACCACACTGAGGTAATATGGTTAAGCCGAGGTGCTTTGCTGAGGCATTTCTTTGATTTACGAGAAGAAATTGAACAGTTCATGGAAGAAAAGGGC